GAAGTGCCACCAGTCTGCATAACTCTTATGGTTGTTCAGAAAAAAAGGAAGAACCGCACATCCAACTTTTGCACAGTGATGTGATTTTAGCGTCGAGTTGTTTAGCGAGACGATTATGATTTCTCCCAATCGTCTAATCGCTCGCTCGCTCGCCGTAGGGGCGCCCACTCACTCGATGGCTTAATGTCCATCGATTTAAAAGAGTAGGGATGCACCGTATACGATGAAATTTTGTTACTGAATTGGCAATGTGGGCAAAAAATAAGGAATGACATCTCCGTTAGTTATGAACCGAATTGCATAAAACTCAATGTCAAAAGTTGAGCCTAATCGATTCAACACTCACAGCGCCCTTTTGTCATCTCGGCCATCAGGGCAGACTAGAGAACTACTATCTATGGAAATGGCCATGTTTGACTAAATCTTGCTATATCTCGTTATATACCCAGAACCACACTTGAACGAAAAAATCATTAACCGCAGTCTCTCGTTGACATACAAACTCGCCGTCTTAAAATTTTACTCATTTTTATATCGTTCCAATTCCATAATAATGCTGTAACCGCAACCGTGCGTTACTTTCAACTTATTTTTTCTTTTGCTTGAAACTTTATGTTCCTTATCGTCATCAGTAGCAATAAGAATTTTTTTATCGGGCGAAACGATAAAATGTCCCAACTTAAATGGAATGCCAACCGTTTTCTGCTAATCATGTCCTTCCTCTCTAAGAACATTAATATTTACTTTCAATTTGTAAAATTTGACTAGGTATTTGTTTAAATATCAAGTTGTTCGTGAGCATTTCGAAAATTTTAGATTAGAACAATGGATTACCTACACACCAACTGTTGGAATAAGGATTTTTCAAGTAGGTATAATTGAATTTCTCAATCGTTTGGAAAGCGAGAGAAAGTCAATAAGGCTATTGGATCATTATGATTACTCTACGCAATTTTAAGGAAAGTAATTATTAATGTGAAATTTGAGTTCTACCTCTAAATGCATGGTTTCTTAATATTCTCTTCTTTCCAACCGTCTTTAAATATTCTCGTTGATTACTAAGCTTATTCGGATTCTTTGAACTCTGTATGTACGTTAAGAAATTACTTTTAGTGTCGACTATTTCTTAAACGTCATTAAAGTAAGGCAAGTTGTGCTGTTGGTCTGAACTCAGGCCTGTCACTATCTTAGGTTGACAGTTTTCCGGGATGTAACACTTGGGAGTCCATAACAATATTTGATTTCTCACGGGTTATCTCAATAAAGAAAACGGAGGCAAAGGGTTTGGAATAGGTGAACGATAAAAAATATTGTACACAAGACGAGACGATGAATAACAAAATCCTATTGTAGCATCCGAGGGAAATTATAAATTCTAAGCGAACCACATTTAAGTGATTGGTGATCTAGTAAGGACATTGTCCGTACTTGCACGTTACATGGACATATTTTCGAGGGTCTCTTCGGTTCCAGCAAGGTATGAAAAACTCAATATTGACAATTCTTTATTATAAATGTTTGGAGTTGCCCCCGTTGCCATCAATACATTTATTCACATTACTTTACACAATTCAAAAACTGCTTGCATTTTTTAAAATATTGTCCAAATACTCATACCCATACCCCAAGAATTTAATTTCGATAATGTGGTTATGAATTATTTTTTAAAAAAACCAAGACAAAAAATTAATAAATTTGACACAGTTCACGTCTTATTTTTTGACATTCTCGAAAACACTTACAGCTATATCCACTTTGCTTTTGTTATTTTTTTTTCATTCATACAAAATACTTTAGAAGCATCTGCGAAGATGATTACGATAGGAGATGTGACCAGAACATTGAGTTAATCTGATGCTGCTTTGGGTCAAACCCGCTACATAAATGGCCAGCTAGCTCAAGTATGATGAAATAAAAGGATTTTAGAACTTGCACAGCGGTTGATTCGTTCTGGGCAAATAATCTTTATAACCTCTTTGCATAGAATGCTACCCAGCTTCTTTAAAAAGTTGAACTAGCTCTGTATAAAACTGGGAAGATACCAGGGAAGTAATAATGACATTCAATACGAAAATACTGATATACAAGTTCCCTATTAAAGATGGGCATCAAAATTAAAACGTTTTCATTTGAAATTATTACCATACTTTGACGTTACATTGTTACACATGGTTTTTCAATGCGACGGTCACCTTGATTTTTTTTTAATAAATGACTTTATGTTACCATTTAAAAAACTCAAGATGGTGCTCGCACAGTTTGAGCGTGAGAGGTTTGGTTTCATCTTTAATATCGACCCTGTATATTATTCTTCAACGACAATCAAAATTAATAAACTTAATAAAAGGAAATTAAATTTCCGCGCATACAAAACATCTACCGCGAATCCCACACATTTACATTACACTTCAAATAAAACTCATACTTAATTCCACCAAATAAATAAACCCCTGATTCAATAATGATCGAATAAATTCGTTTACTGAATCTGACAACGATTGCCAACTTGTAAAATGATATTCCGACCACAAATTCGCACCGATAATGCCAAGTACTAGGTCACATTATAAGAATAAATGTTACCTTGAGTAATGCCGGACGCTGACGTCGGAAGTGAGTTCAATCTTTGAATATAAAATTTTATATTCAAAGGTTCAGTTCAAACGTTCCGTTTTAATCTTTGAAGTTTCATAAATTTGGATCTACATAGGAGTGGTCGCATGCAACTTAACTTTGTTTTAAGTGCACTAACATAAAGCCCATTCGTTCTCTATGCACTGATAAAAATAGGTTGGCATGACTATAACCGTTTTTAATCAATTATCAAGGTACAATCTGCATCCGCCATTTTTTTTCTTAAAGTCAAAATAACTTAAAATCCATAAATGGCAGATATAGACATGTGGGTATCAAAAGAACTGAAATTTTACGAGAATCCAAAAATGCAATAAAAAATAGGGGTTGCCATTTAAAATAACAAAGTTACTATCTACTTCCGGTGTTTCCAGAAGTGCGGCCATTTTGAAAATATTTGGCATCGATTCGGCCTTCAGAATAAGTACAAAATTTCAAAAACATACCTATTTTACTTTCCCAGAAACGTTTAACTAAAGCTCCCAAAAGACACCCTGTATTGTTTAATATCAGAAACCTTTTACTATATTTTTTATGCTACTTTTTTGTTCACAAAAATTCTTCATATATGAACATCCCAAAAATGCTTCATGGTGGATCGAGTAATATGTGTAGGTAGTGCATATTTTATGCATTTTGGTTTTTATACATACACACTAAATAGAGCACTTGAGCGGGTATGGTGCTTTTTGATTTATTTGCGAGCTTAGTACCAAAATTCCTATAGTGGATAAAAGATGAATAAAGATTGTTTTCAATTTCCAGTGGGGGCAAGAACACATTCTAGGTGGGGCTGGCCCCCACCTGGCCACCCCCTAGCTACGGGCCTGCGGGGATGTTTTGTTGAGAAGTGAATGTAAAATTCGTTTGAAACTTTTCTTGTAAATTTACGTAAAAGTGTAGAGTGTGAGTGACACGTCATTATTTTTATTTTTTGTCCTCTTTGTGTTTCCGTAAAAATCCAATATGGTGCCTATAAGAAATAAGAAAGTAGTAGCCTGTAGCTTCTACATATTTAGCGTGCTCTGGAAATTCTGCAAACAGATTCAGATTCTCCGAAAAAAAGTGCCGATAAAAGGTGCTAACGGGAACCGTCCATTTCCGACCGTTTAAGCTAGGGAAAATGAAAACGAAATTGGACATTATCATTTTTTCGGTGATATCTCATTAAAATTTCAAAAAGGGGCACCTTTGTCCCCATTTAACCTACATTGTATCTCGCACCGTTGCGGAGATCTCTTCAATTGCGCATAGGGTGCGTTGTGATCATTTGAAATTTGATTCAATTCTTTATGGAAATTCTTTTGGATTCATCGCATTGGTTCAATAAAATAGAACAAAAATGTTGTTCAAATTACCAGAACTGCAGTTACCAAGCACTTATTGTGTGGACTTGTCTATTAGAATTATTTGTTTCATTGGCCCTAATTAAAATAACGCATCAGTTAATAATGTAACGGATGTTCACCTGTTCGAAATGTACCCTTCCCCATTATACCTACCCAGTGCAATCGCGAAACGCATCTGATGGTGATTGTTGGTGTTAATTGAGGACTTTCCTTGTAGAATACAGTGGAATACGGGAACCTAAACTAACGCATGTGAACCTTATTTACGCTTTACTATTTATTATCCATAAATTAGGTTTCTCCTTTGCATGCCAATATATTATAGCTTTATAGAAACAATAAACAATTGTGGTTCCTTTTTATATATTAAAGAATCTCAACGAACCCCAAAAAATGGAGGATTACATTACATATATTATATATGATGTGATGAGCGTGTAACAAACGCGCGTCTCCTGGTTGTAAATTCATTAGTAAATAAATACTTGAACACTGCAGCATCTCGGTATAAATGGAACAGGTGTGAATTTACAGCTTTAGAAAGCTTTATTGTATCACTAAAGATAAATTATTTCATTCCACTTGTTTCATTCTCAATAGTTAAAACAATCGCATTTTATTCATTAGCGCAGTTCACTGCGTTGATTGTTTACGATTAGGAGATAAAGCTGTGCAATTATGCGTTACGCAAAATTACACTTTTATACCCGCTCGGAAAAGAAAAATTGGAAAACCCTTGAAACGGAAAAATGTAAATCGTCTATTTCAGTTTGTGTACCTAATCCGTATTTCTTATTTATATTTTTATTAAAGATTTAAAGTTGCATTAAATCGTTGTAGAGAAATAAAAGCTGAAATACATGTCTAGAAAGTCACAGTTCAATGTGGAAGTTGAGTATATTTTGAATGCAAATTTTTTTATATACGTAGTAAACGTTATAAACGAAACGAAATTCTAACAGTATGCTGATGTAACTTTAATAAAAAATATCAATTATCATTCTTTTTTCTTTATAGGAAACCGAGTGTTTAGCATTGGAAGCGAATATTCGTTGGGCGGAAGCGTTTATTTTGGTTTATTCCGTAACCGACAAGTGTTCATTTGATGAGTGCAATCGCCTTAAGTTTCTAATTAACTATAACAAGAGGAGAAGGCGTCTGGGTGGAGGTTCAAAGGACAGTCCTTGCGATGTTCCGGTGCTTTTAGTAGGAAATAAGACTGATCAGAGCGAAGACAGGATGGTATCGTTGGAAGAGGGACAAAGGAGAAGCAAAGAAATCGGTTGCATTTGTTTTCATGAAATTTCCGTTCGTGAGAGTATTGAGCAGGTAAATATAATCTCGTTTGAAAAGGGGTAATTCACAGGAACGTTTAAGGTGTTCGCTGTTTTTCGCGATGTCTGCCGTTTTTGGAGACTACAAAGTAAGTGTCCGAGTAAATTGAAAAGATCCGGCAGTGAGAAGGAAGCTGTTTCCCCTGACACTGTCAGGTTGATATGTTCCTCGACAGTATCTCCAGTCGCCGTTTCGTCTTTAAACTCGAAATCTTCCGTCGCTATTGGCCATCGATGGACTGAGATAGAATTGGAAGAGGACGCGGAATCAGAAACTAGTAAAGCGAGTACTTCATCTAGTCCTAGCGAATCCATAGGTCCCTTTCGAGAAAGGGCTTCCACCGACGGCCATCTTTTGCAAAGACCTTGGCGGTGGCGATATCCACCACCCGCTGCCGAATCAAATCCCGAAATGTTTTACACAAGAGCCAATAGAAGAATGAGTATATCAATGAAGGGAAACAATGCTAGTTACTAGGCTAACGAAAGTAGCCCTACATTGACAAAATGGCTTAATACACATATCCAATTAAGCGATTTTATACGTATTTACACGAAATTTATTAGTAAATCGGATTAGAAGAGTTTTATAAACGTTTGAGCATGTTTTGACAATAATATGTATAACGATCATAATGTTGACGAAAACGCTCTATTGCTACCCTGACAATTTTTTAATTATTTACGTCCTTGTAAAGATACCTACACGACGCAACGTGTTGTACATGCCAGAACGAAACGGTATCATAAGTTACACGCACTTTGCTATTGTACATTGCAGATGTTAACGTAGGTGTCCACCGTCAATTTACTAAAGCGTAAAACCATTCTAACTAACGGAGTATTAGTACATGCAGATTTCGTTTTAGATGCGTATTTTGCATAATGTGTGTCAGGAGAGCAATTAGTAGTTCTAATTATTAAACCTGTTTACTTATATTCTGTTGTTTAATATACACAAATAGATGTTGGATGTTCTGTAAATATTTTTGGAATTCTACTTATCTATAAACAGAAAATCAAAAAAGTATCATAAGAAATGCGTCAATGGGTATATCGGGGATATACAGGGTGTCCCAGATCGCTTGCGGTTGCATGGGTACCTTTCTTATTATTAAAGATAGAGAATTAATTGGTTAAATGGACAATGTTTTGCAGTTTTAGATGTTATTTAAAATTTCCTCGTGGAAATTCAAAATGTCGAATAGGTTTGATGTAAATTCAATTAGTTTTTTTGAATTCACGTCAAACCTATTCGACATTTTGAATTTCCACAAGGAAATTTTAAATAAGCATCTAAAACTGCAAAACATTGTCCATTAACCAATTCTCAATCTTTAATAATAAGAAAGTTACCCATGCAATGCAATTGCACGCGATCTGAGACACACTGTATATGGGTAATATATTACGATATCTATAAATCTATAACTACTTATTCAATGCTTTTGTGCAGTATTAGTAAATTCCAAGCGGCTATAGGTTTCGTATTTATATCTACATTTTTATCCCAAACGACGCGACGGTTAGAATGAAGACCAAATCTATGCGATCGAGTTGCATCATGCACAAACATTGCTATTTTGGTACGTTCCATAAAACAAATAATGTAAAAAGGATTAATGTTATAAATGGTTACTTGTCTACGAACATTGGAAATGAGCGCAACAGATCAATTTTATAATTATTGATTTTCGCAAGATAATCTATTATATTCCACCAATGGGATGTTCGCAATGTCATTTATACCAACAAGTACTGTTAATAAATTAATCATTATCACTATCAATATCGGTACCGAAATCATGTACCTACGTAGAATATTTTATTTGAAAAGAAGCTAATCGAATCACATGGTTATCTATTAATTGTGCTGTATTGATTGTTATCTGTCTGATACATATTTATTGTATCGTAATACATACAGAGTGTACAACAGATACACCCAACATAGGGCTATTGTCAAGATGTCAGTATTTTCGCCCTAATATCAAATCACAAACAGGGCATAATTCTCACATGAAGGAAGTTTAATATTTAATGATAAGTACTCTTTATTTTGAATGTACCAATTGCACACTCTGTAATATAGAGTAATGTTTATTAAGAAGTAGACATATGGGTTTACATGTATTGTTTTTCTCTATGTCAACTTTTAAATGACAAAATCTTTTGAAAAGCGCCGAATTTTATGCATCCAAAATAACTTTTTAAAACAAGTAAAGATCTGGCCTGCGTAATAATGAAATTAAAAATGTTGCTTTGGCTTCAGTATTTTTATTTTCGTTCGTGTGCGATGGATTAAACCGCTGAGTGAAGAATTGAGGATTCAATGATTAAACTGAAAAAAGAGTTGATATTAATTGGTATATTGCCAGTAACAGTTCTAAGGAGCCTAAGAGATTTATTTTCTGTGAAGCCAAAGCAACAATAGTCAAATTAATTAATATAACAGCCAGATCTTTATTTGTTTTAATCAGTTATTAGATGCATAAAGTTAGGCACCCTTCATTGTCATTTGATAGTAGAACAGGGAAAAACAATACACGTAAATCCATATGTCTCCTTCTTAATAAATATCACAGTATACACTTTAATTCAACATTTGGACCATTGTTTCACTGTGATTGTTATTCGTGTAAATATATAATTAGTTTCCTAAGTAATGTATAATTATATTGTTGCTGACGTTGTGATTAAAGCTTTTGTATTTCGTATTGGCCTAAGTATTAAGACTTCCCAGGAAGTATTTGATTTTATTGTCAAAAATGTTGGTTACGAAATATATTTGTGATGTTTGAAGCAAGTTAATTGGTTGAAACCTTTTTACCTCCTTCGTATCTTTTCCTGGGCTTATTCGAAAGAGAAGTCCATGTTTTCAGCCCCAGCACAACAACAACAAAATTATCACTGATATTCTCGTATTGGTCCGTTTAGTAAGTGTCTATACACGATAAAAATAAGGCGTTGTAATAGCATTTAAAGCGACTAGGCAGCGGGACGAGGATGTAGCTCTTTTTGCCTGGAGATCGCCTGTATATCCATCTTCCAGATGCACCTTTGAATGTAATGACTTCTTTACAGGAATTTTCTTGCTTCTGTTAGCCAGTGTGGTGCATATCTATACATATTTGAACACTAATTAATAGCATTGTTATTAAATTAATAGTACCTAACCATGATAGAAACTCAATCCAATGTTGTTTGTCAATCATATGTATAAATTTGTCCATTTTTTATCGTAATGACCCCGGGGATAGATATAAGCACAGATTTATAAATCTGTGATATAAGTTCGTCGGTCGAGTCCCTTACCCTACTACGCATAGGTATGAACACTTATATGGGTAACACATACGCATCTACTTTTGTACTCTAATTGATCAAGTTTACGTAATGTTAACTACTCGATTTTTTTTTGTAGAACCAATCCACAACACGGAAGAGTTTATACTGTATTAGAAAGGAGCAGTGGTCGCCACTAAGGGGAAGAGAACGTCTTATTTGAAAAAAAAATGCAATGGCAATTGATTTAAACCAAAATCAACAGTCAATACAGATTAATAGTATCCGAAACGGAAATTGTCCTGAATTAAAACCTAATAGTATATTAAACGACAGCAAGATATTCTGACCAATACTTGCGGCTTGGACTCAATTGTGCATCTTGCCTGTAATTAGGGTGATTGTCCTATTATTACCAATACTTTTAAATCAAAAGATAACCTTCAGACAAAAATTATTGCAATTTGAGTATTAACTTAAAAGTGTAGTACAAACTGCGAGCGGAATTTTTATTACCTACGTATGTTTACCAATAGCACCAATGAACAACAAATTTTAAATAATCTTGTTCATATTGACATGCAAACCACAATTGAGTATATAATAAGGTCGCTTTGTAAACTCAGAGAATTCAATCCCTTATTAATAGAAAAACGTGTATGTAATAAATTCAGTAGATTGAGAATTCTGCCAACTCCTATATAGTTCCGGTTGCTCCCCAACTAAATCTAAATATTGAACAGGAAATTTTAAACCGTTACGTATTCGTTCAAGATAAAAATAGTGTCACCACAAATTGCACCGATTTAATCGAAAATACTGTCGAATTTGTTGATGGTATTAAATTGGGCAAAAGCTGCGATTAAGCATCAACTTGAACAACGTTTTTATTAAAACAGTTTCTATAATGGCAGATACGAATATTAAATTATAACAAAAGACACCACCTTAGATAAAGTTGGTGGTAAAAGGACGTTTTACTTCAACACTGGATGTCATGCCGAAATGAACAACAATCAACTCACAAAGCTACTGCGAGGCTCTTAAGAGACTTCGGCAAGCCATCCAAATCAAAAGAAGGGTTAGCATCACCAAAGGAGTGTGTTTGCATTATGACAATGCGCGTCCACATGTATCACATCAAGCGACAACACAATGGATTCATCTGGGATATCATATCATTACTTGTTTCCTGCTTTCAAAAAACACCTTGGGGGACAGAAATTCAAGTCAGACGAGAAAGTCATTAGTTGGCTTCACGGCGCGACGGAAGAGGGGTATGAGTTAGTGTGGTGTCACACTATGCGTTTTTACCGCTCCCGCTAAAACGGATGCGGTTTGACAGGATGAGATCTACTTGTCACACTATTCCGGTTTAACGGGATGCGTTTTTGCTATATTTTGGCAGTCTAAGTAGTGTCATGTCTCAATTATTGTTAAAGATGGTTTATGCGCTTGAGGCGGAGGGGCTATTGCGAAAGTAGATATATTGTCAATACTAGATTGATCCTTTTAATTCAGGACGAGAATCTACTAATAGGTTCGCGAAGTTTTATGAAAAAATTCGAATGAACAAGAAAACATTTTTTGTATATTACCGAATGTCCAAAAATTCAATTTCTACCCATGATTTCTCCCTACAGCTTTTGTCTACATACTCTTTAGATTGTTTTTCCCACAGTGCAGTTTTTGCATGCACGCACTAGATGAATAAACCGACATCAAACATTGTAAACCTAACAAAACACCCGGTTGCAACGCTCAGTGTGACAACTGATGACAACCAACGTGCAACAACACGTGGTTTCATGTCATTGGGTTGTCATGTCATCCTGCGCAGCGGCAGCAGGATGCGGTTGCATCCGGTTGGTGCGGCGAAAACGCATATATGTGACTGGTACCATTTAATAACGTGTGATATTATCATCCCGTCAAACAGGAGCATTTTAGCGGGAGCGGTAAAAACGCATAGTGTGACACCACACTTACGCAAAAAGTGATAAATCGTTAAGGCGACTTTATAAAAAATAGCTAAACGTTCAAACCTCCCAGCGGAAAGTTGTGAATAAAATTGATTTTCTATGACAATTCAACTCATGTATAAAAAATCGCATAAGCCGCAGTGCAATTGTCACTTTGACAGCGGCAAAAGTTACCTGCAACTTTTCCAGCGACAAATGCACTAGTGGTTTTTTCACTTATTCATTTTGAACCAATTATCGCGTTATCCTTTTCCATATGACTAGTTTGACGTCTGTCAATAATTGATTAGTTTGGTGAATTTCTTGTTCGTTAAATTGTCCTGCCGAATTGCACTCGAGGTTTGTATTTAGACCGAGTAAATTTGTATTGTTGAAATTCAAATCTGTTTCCTTTTAGCAATTGAACTCGAAAAACTGTCAACCTAAAAATGCTCCACCTTCGGTGTCGCATTTTTATTAGTTGACAGTTTTACTCGTCGAATTGCTAGGCAACAGATTTTCATTACCTAAACAACCCAAATTTACTCGGTAAAATACAAACCTCTTGTGCAATTATAAGTGAAAAAAAATAGGAAACCTTACTTTTCAATGGCTCCTTGATACTTTCTTTATATACATACAATAGAAGTATGGTTTATTCGAATATATGGTCAATTAATCACTTAATACCTG